TACACATCAACTGACTTAAATAGGTAAAACATGCAAGGAATCCTGCTACAACCGATTGTGGGTTTTGGTTTGGGCAGGTAATCTGATCTAATTTGATATTTTTTTTTTTTTTTTTTTAACATCTTCACTTCCAACAAGGCTGCAAGCAACCACTATAAGAGTTGGAAGTTACTGGAAGAGAAAAGACTAAATCTGTAGAGCAAGATAACGATTGACTGATGACTTAAAAGATTGCAAATTATATGAATCAGGAAAGCAAGATGAAGGAAGCGAATTCCAAAGAACTGATGTTCGAGGAAAAAAACTAGAAGAATAAGAGTTTTTGAAGCACTTAGGAACAGTCACAGAAAAAGGATGAGACTTAATTGAATGGCGAGTAACACGAGAATGAATTTTAGTAGATGGCACAAGGGACGCTAGCTCCTTAGAGCAGTGCCCATTATAGTATTTGTAGAAAAGAGAAAGAGAAGCAACATTACGACGATGTGACAAAGGTTGGAGATTGGCTGCCAGAGCAGGTCCAACTATGTTTACAATTCGTTTTTGCACCTTGTCTAAAAGAGAAAGAGCATCACTAGAAGATCCGCCCCAGATGTGGCAACAGTATTCCATACAGGGACGGATTTGAGATTTATAGAGATAGAGAATAGAATCTGGAGTAAGAAAGTGTCGAGCTCGATAAAGAGATGCAACCTTAGCAGATGCTAATTTTGCAATGGATTTGATATACGGTTTAAAAGAAAGATCAGAAGTAAGAGTTAATCCTAGAAGATGAATCCTAGAAGAGTTAATCCTAGAAGAGTTAATCCTAGAAGATATATATATATATATATATATATATATATATATATATATATATATATATATATATATATATATATATATATATATATACATATACACTACCGTCCATAATTAATCGAATGGTCGTACTTTTCGAAATAAGATATCATAGTTTTACTTACTATTGGGAAAGAAGCTGTAATCAAAGTCTACCTGAATTATATGTTATTTGCCTTTTTATTAGGTTTATAAAAAAATTAATAAAAGTTTGATTAGATTAATTTATAATTTACTTGCCTTTTAATCACTCTTAGCAACAATAACTGCCATACATATTCTTGGCATTCTACTTAACAACTTATCAAATATGTCGAAGTTAATTTCATGTCCAATAAAAGAGAGATCTTGTGATTGGGGAGGCTAAATCATTTTATTTAATATTTGATCATTCTCAAACTCAGTTAAATAAATTAAACAAGTTTTCAAAAAATATGTTTTAGATTTAAGCTTCAAGTCATTTCCTTTTGAAAAATGAATAGCTTCTCATTAACCAATCTTTCCGAAGGTGTAGCATAACTTTTTAAGTGTACAAGTAAACTAGTTTTCTCATTATTCCCTTTATTTTCGCAAAGTCACCTGTGGTATTCTAACCAAAACACCTTAACACTACATCCACCATGTTTTACAGTCAATAATACACATTATTTTATCATAAATTCAACAATTTTTTTTTGATAAATCTTTGGTTCTTTGGTTTCCAAATAAGATTCTTTGGTTTCCAAATAAGATTGCAAATTTTTTTTAATAAAAAGTATTAATTTTTTAAAGTTTTTAGTAAAAAACTTTTAAAAAGTTTATATTCCAAATTTATTAATACAGAATATAAATGTTTTTTGTAATATAGATTTTTTAAGAGTTTTTTTACTAAATTCATATTAAAAAACATTTGCAAAAAATTTGACATTTTTTTTAATATCTCAAAAAATGTCTTAATATTTTTGTTATCATGATAACAAAAATATCAAGGCATTTTTTCGAGATATTAAAAACAATGTGCCAATGAATGAACAATCTATTTGTATTGTACTAAAAATTACTTCATTAATTGTAATTCTTTGCTTTTTTTATTAGCTAAAGGTACCTTTACCTTTAAGTTATGCGGGGGAAGGGGGCCGGCACAGAAAAAAAAAAAAAGCAGTTACTCGCAATTTTTGAATGAAGACAATTTGTTTGTATGTATATATATATATATATATATATATATATATATATATATATATATATATATATATATATATATATATATATATATATATCAAATAATTTAAAATACATATAGATCCTTGCAAAGTTGCCCAAAATTTCTTATTTCATAATCTGTTAACATAAAAAAAAATTAGAAAATAAGACTAGAAAAAAATTCTTTGTATCTTTTTAAAAAATTGCATGCTCAAGCCTCAAACCCTCAGTCTGAGTATATATATGCTCTTTTCATATTTTACCTATTTAGGTTAGTCAATATATATATACAATCCTCACATGTTTTACCTTAGTTTTAAGTATTAATTTTAGTTAGTTGATTTATGCACACTTTGCTGTGCAAATCCCTAAATAAATCAGTTGATAAAACAAAAATGAAAAAAAAAAATTAATAGCACAAAATTTTTTATAATTTTAAAGAAGTTTTTGAAAGTTTTAAGAGAGTAAAGTAAATTTCTGTTAACTGAAACCTCCAAGGGACCATGGAAAATAGTTCACCTAAACAAATGTTCAATTTAGGTGAAACAAAACAATTCTTTTTAATCCATATACTTGCAAATCAGAACTTTCTAAGACATTTTAGGAAAGATCATTGAATATAGAATGATCAAAAACCAAATGGAACAAGCATAAAAAAAAAATTTTTTGAAGACAATTATTTTAAAGTTATCTTTACTTGGTTAAAAATAAAAAATAATTTATGAAAATATAAGTGGACCTTGGCCTCTGGTGCCCATCCCCATAGACCCTCTGGTCATCTGGTGTGGAAACAATTTTAGCACATGTTTATTAGGACTACACAAATGTTGAAAGTGTTCCCCTGTCCCTGTGTCTTAGACCTCTGATACATTTTTAACATGCAGTACAAAGTATTTAACAGCACTACAGAAATGCCAAAAGTTTCAGAGCTCCAACTAATCTGGAAGGTAGTGAAAAATTATTTGCAATATTCCACTACAAAAAAGTGGGGACCATGCCCTGTTCTCCAAATATGCAAATCCATATACTTGCAGATTAAAATCTTTATTTTTTCTAAAAGATCAATAAAAATAAAGAATGTTTTATAATTTTTTTTTTTGATACCAGCAAGGCTGCATGGGTTTCTTGTGCATTAAAAACAGGTTGTAAAAAATTGCTTTAAATTGATAATTACAGGTACTTAATAACTTTTTAATTTTCAGATCATTTTATTAGATAAAACTCCAATTGAGATCCCTTAAAATAGCCACTTACAAATTTTTAAGTAAAAAGATTAAATTTTTTAAAGTTAAATGACTTAAAATCTCTAAAAAAAAATGTCACAACTCTAAGGGGAGAAAAGGGGCCTAGCCAATATCTGTTAGAAGTAAAATGGTCATATTTCAGGATCTATTTGGAGCTAGAGGCTAAAATTTTCAAAGAACTTTAATTATACTATGTACTCTCAAATGTAAAAAATCAGGTGAGATATATGGTGATATTTTAAAATTTTAAAAAGTCAACTACTACTTTACTTTTTTAAATCTTCACAAATTATCATTCACTACAGATCTTTTATATACACCATATATACAATCCATTGCAAAGCTAGTGTCTGCTAAAGTGGCCTCCCTCTTTTATTCTGCTTTTTATTTTTATACTATCGATTCTATACTCTATCCAATCATCACAAGGTTGCATCTCTTTCTCTATTTTACAAATACTATTATGGTCATTTATCAAACAAACTATCATCTCTGGTTTCATCAACCAAAACTCATTTTCGCTTGACTTGTCATTCAACAAAGTTGAATGCTTTTACTGTATCTGCCCTTTCATGGTTTAAAAAATTGTATTTATCTAATTTCTTTCCTTGCACAACTCTTTCCCATCATCACATTTTAACAATTCATACAATAATTTTTTTAAAAAAGTCTTTTGTCAAACATTTTCTTTCTCTTTAATAATATTCTTCATTCTTTTTATTAACTTCCAACTTAAATAATTGTTCTTTGCAGCCTTGTTTGGAGTAATTTAGTTTAAAAAAATAAAAAATTACGGCATTTGTGAAGCAATAAAATCAATCATTTTATTAAAATAAAACAACAATTAAGTTATAAGTAAAGTTAGTTAAAAAGAAAGCCTATTGATTAGCTTAATGAAAAAAATTTTTTAGTAATAACTTGCCAACAAAGTTAGTATTAAGGCAACCAATAAATTAGTAAACTTGTAACCATCATAAAAAGAAACTTAACTAAAACTTTTTCTTTTTCACCAAAATAGTAAAAAAAAACATGCATTTTCACCTAGTATAAGGGCAAAGGCAACTCTTCAAGAGAGTTCTTCACATCTTGAAATGTCGATGAATTGAAAATTAGAATCAAAATGCACAACTTTAATCTTTTTAGGTAAAAAAAAAATTACTGAATCCAATAGTTAAAGAAGCTTTGGTGGAAAGTTTTATTTGGTAGAAAAACTGGCATATTTATGAAATGTTTTATCTTCTTTAATAAAATTATTTTTGTAAAAGTTTTTTGGAAAATAACTTAAGAACCAATTATTTTAGAATGAATTTAAATAATTTCCTAGCAGAAATATATTTAGCTATTAGTATTCTACTTTCCAATTTCTATAAAAATATATCACAAAGTAGTCAAAAAATTTTAAAACAAATAATTTTTCAACTTATTATTTAAAAAATAAACTCTAAATAAAAGAGAGAAATAGAGAGAGAGAGAGAGAGAGAGAGAGAGAGAGAGAGAGAAAGAGAGAGAGAAAGAGAGAGAGAGAAAGAGAGAGAGAGAGTTTCAATGCTTAAAACAAAAAGTTAAAGTATTAAATTATTTTATTACTACTTAAAACAATTTCTATTTTTACATTTGATACTTATTAATAAACTAAATAATATTATGTTATAAAAAAAAATATATGCTTTCTTCTTTAATTAAAGTTAAAGAGTAAAATTAAGACTTGCTGTAGTAAATTAAAGACTTGCTGACCTTGCCAAGACATATATGACAACATATTGGTAATGTAATATGAACAGATGGATTTTTTGCTGTTTTATCTGAGTTCTTAGAGTAAAATAGAGACATTAGATGATAAATTTATTAATCCTCAAGTGGTCCCATTAGCAACATTCGCCGAAAAAATGTTAACTTTCTTTGAAAATGTCGTCTAAAACGCCAAAGATATTTTGCAAAAACGCTAAAATTAAAAGTAAAATTTGAAATAGCGTTTTTAATTAAGTTTTGGCATTACGTCATTATAGTTTAATAATTTAGCGAGATTTTTTTAAAAGGCCGGTAAAATTTTTAACCGGACATTTTTTATTCTTTTAGGTTTTTTTTGTATTTTGATTTGGAATTGTTCTTTTTTTCCCCATCCCCTCCGCCAACTTTAAAATATAGGTGGAGGGGATGGAGGAAGAAGAGTATAATTCTAAATCAAAATACAAAAAATAACTAACTTCCGCGGTGCTCAGTGATAAGACCGTAAGGACTTCTTGGGGGACCTAAATCAACTTTTAAAAAAAAACACTTCCCGTCACCAATTTACTCAATTTTTGAAATAAAGATAATAAGAATATCACAAAGTTGTTTTAAGCTAATTGGAATGCTCGTGTAAAACTTTAAACTTCATAACTTTTATTTATTTTAAGCTTCCCTAGCAACACCCATAGCATCACATAAACGTCAATACTCATGTTGTTACTTTTATTATAAAATCTCAAACTTAAAACTTTTTCACATATTTTTAGATGCTAAACCCAAAAAATATACTAATAAATTATATATTTAACATAAATCATTAAATGTAAATTGATGTTTTCAATGAGATTTTTAAGTAAGCATGCCTATATTATGGAGAATTACAAAAATGGTTATGATTTATTTGTTTCCGATCTTCGTATTTTTAAAGTATACCTAAATATATAAAAACTCAAAATCAATTGTTTCTTAACTTCGTAATCTAAAAAATTTGATTTTCGTTTTTTTATAAGATTTTGACCGATCAAAGCAAATAAGGAAAAGATTAATATTAAATTATTTTACCCTTCTTAGTGATTGCAGGTCCGTTGATAGGGACAAAAGGGGTAAACATGCCCCGAGCGCCAAGAAATAGGTGCACTAGAAGGCGAAAATAAAAAGCAATTGTCGATATGCCAAATATTCAAGTTATAACTTTTTTTGCTTTTTCTATTGCGTATTCAGTGTCTTTAAGTGTCTATATAGGGTATATTAATATTACAGGGTAATAGTTTAACTATTTTTTTAAATAACCTAAATTTACAGTTTATCAACTCTGTGTAAAATTAAATCGGCTTTTTAACCTTAAATAACATGATGAAAAATGTTGTTTTTGATTACTGTGCACAGTAATTAACTTTGCTTTCTTATATTACTAAAGAATAAAAGTTTTAAAAAATTTATCTCTTTTCCTTGGTTCGTTGCCAAAAAATTTCACTTTGTTTTTTTATATTGACGACATTAAAGTAGACACTAAATCTTATCCGAATAAAACATTTTTTCGTTTAAGATGTACTTTGTCAAGATATTTTTAGAAAAAAAACTATTTCATAAAAATTTTGTTTACAACTTAAAGTAAAACGAGGGATACTTCATGTTTTTCTTGATCAGACTCCTTTAAATCAACATCTGTTTTGCCATTGCTTTGGAAAAACTGGGAAAACCACTTCAACTGAATTTAATGTCTTCTAATTCAGACAATAAAGATTCAACATCATTTAAGTTGGTTTTGATTTTTTGCCTTCTATTTGTTGGTTCTTTGATTTTTTCTGTTTTGATATTTGTCCATCATCAACGTCATCTAGTGTGATTAATTTGCCTGGTGTGATTTTTTGCCTCTTTTACTCTTGGATTTCCTTGCTGCATCATTGCCTTAGTGCTTCTTAAGAATATTTATTACACCTTCATTAAATATTTCTCTTTCGGTTTCACCGCCATGATCTTTGCTGACATCCGTAGACCGCTTTAATGCTTTTTCTCGATTCAATGGATATATGCTTGAAACTTTGAATTTGGCTGTTAAGTTATTTGCTTTTACAGTATTCTGCAACTTTTTTAAGAGTGTTGGGAAATGGTTTTTTGGAATTGAACCCTTGATTCTTGATTCTCTTTATCATGTTTGTAAAATCTTCTTCCACTCGACCTTCAACAATTTGAAAACAGCAATATCAAGCAGTTGCAGCAGATGTGTGGCATTTGGAATTAAAAATGTAAAGCGGATATTATTTTCAGAGCATGCTTTGATGACAATCGGTGAAAAATTTGAAACTAAAATATCTCCGATAACAACCTTTGTTCTTGTAAGAGATCTTGTTTCGGGAATAAAAATTTCCGTGAACCAACGTTCAAATGTTCTAAAGTCAAATTTTGAACCAGATTTTGAACTGTCAAATATACTTCCAGGTGGGCTACCACAAGTCCACTCTATGTAAAAGTTTGCAGCTTTATAAACAACCATGGGAAAAAGGAACTGACCAGCTGCACTCCCACAGTACATAATACTAACAGCTCCTTTGGAAAGCTAAATTTTTCTTTCTACACGTTTAAGGCCACGTTTACAATTTATTGTTTTAGAACTTGGATTATCTCTTACATTTGTCTCATCATAGTTGAATATATGAGTACAAAGAATGTTTGTAGTGTAATGGATAATTCATCAAAATATAAACAAACTGAATTTTGATCAATTTTATATTTTGCAGGCTTTACGTAGTCAGCAATTCGAGAAGTCAGATTGTTGCGGACAATGAAAAATTTTATCCAATCAGGACCAGGCATTTGTTTTCAAATTTTGAATCGACGACATCTATTCTGTCTAAATAGTCTTTCATTAGCAGACGTATATCCATACAATCCAAAGGTATTTTTCTATCTGTCAGGATGCTTAGAACTTGTGCACTCAAAAAAATCTTTCCTTCGCCGGTAAGGAAAAAAATTTCCTTAACGATTTTGCCGTAAATCTTTCCTTCTTTTAAGGAAATAAATTCCTCAAATTACGTGAAAGGAAGAGAATTAAATGTTACATTACGCGAACAAAATTATCCCTCCGATGTATTTCCTTAAATCAAGGGAATTCAATCACGGTTCAGCTATAAAATTAGGAAATTTTTAAGAAGTTTTACCTCGTGTTAAAAATTAAACTTCACAATTCTATTGCAACAAGGGAGATTTAGCGTCACTTATCATTGTTATATATAAATTCATCATGATTTTAGTTGCAGTTTAAAATGCAGGAAAATAAGAAAACCTAAATAGAAAAGTTTAAAGACATAAATTTTATCATAAAATAAAATAAAAATGATATCATAAGTTTCATGTCTTCATATTTTCCTTTTTTTGTTTTCTTGTTTTCCTGCATTTTTTATTTTAGTACCTTTAACAGTTTTTAATGTGATATAATAAATTGTGTTACTATTCAACTTTTTAAAACTGTATTCAATTAGCACTAAACTATTATATAATTTTGTATATTTAAATAGATTTTTATAGAGTACATTATACTGATTCTAAATCATATAAAAACATAGGTCTGAAAACTTGAGGAAAGTACTCTAATTTGATGTTAAAGTATAAAAATCCACATTAAAAACGGTAATATTCCGCCATCTTTTTAAAAACATTTTAAGGGGAGGCTGAATAAGTGCGAATTTCATAACTGCGAATCTGCATAAGTGCGAAGCAGTTGCAAAGACTGGCATAAGTGCGAACTGGCACAAGCGCGAACTGGCATAAGTGCGCCGAAAGAATTTGCAAACATTGGCATAAGTGCGAACTGGCATAAGTGCGACTAGCATATGTGCGAATCAATTGCAAAAACTGGCATAAGTGCGAACTGGCACAAGCGCGAACTGGCATAAGTGCGCCAAAAGAATTTGCAAACATTGGCATAAGTGCGAACTGGCATAAGTGCGAACTGGCATATGTGCGAATCAATTGAAAAAACTGGCATAAGTGTGAACTAGCACAAGCGCGAACTGGCATAAGTGCGCCAAAAGAATTTGCAAACATTGGCATATACGCGAACTGGCATAAGTGCAAACTGGCATAAATGCGAATCAATTGCTAAAACTGGCATAAGTGCGAACTGGCACAAGCACGAACTGGCATAAGTGCGCCGAAAGAATTTGCAAACATTGGCATAAGTGCGAACTAGCATAAGTGCGAACTGGCATAAGTGCGAATTGGCATAAGTGCGAATTGGCATAAATGCGAACTGGCATAAGTGCGACCTGGCACAAGCACGAACTGGCATAAGTGCGCCGAAAGATTTTATAAACATTGGCATAACTACGAATCGGCATAAGTGCGAACTAGCATAAGTGCAAATCAATTGCAAAAACTGGCATAAGTGCAAAAAAGTCAGAACTATTATTGTAAAAATAAAAGTCACTGATAACTGATAGAGAGCCACGATGGGTCCCGAGGCAAATTTCTTTATGGGCTCTATCTTGGCTGAAAATAAGCACCATGTAATGCCAAATAAGCTTTTTTTTTTTTTCTCCCATTTTATGGGAGAAAAAAATAGTAGCCCGGCTTTCTTTAAGAGTCCTGCTCCGGACTCTTAAAGAAAGCCGGGCCCCAGGACAACATACCCGCCTAATCCTCTCTCTCTACGGCCATGCCGGTAACCACTGAAATAACCTCTGAGTGGATACTTAAATAAATTTTTACAACTTTTGTGTCAACTAGGTCAACATTAATCTTCGCATTTTGATTTTGCTATTGTTAAAGCAAATGGTATCCAATGACAACCAACCCAATGCTAAAAATTTAAAAATTAGTTTGAAGATGATATTCAACTCGTGCAAAAAACCAAATAACGATTAATAATTTTTACACTGACCACAAATATTATTTTTATTTACATTATTGATAACCCGACGATTACCATTATTTGTAATGATCATTCTCTTTTATACTTTTTATTTTATTTCGGTACGCTTAGTTAAAAACAGGAGGAAAATATGTTGAGCAGAACAGTAAGTATCATACCCTTATTGAAGGTTTTTTTAATTTTTAAGTTTCATTTTATAAAATGTTTTATAAGAGCTTTTGAAAGCTCATAAAAATATTAGAATAATTTATTTATGCTATAATGAACATATTCAAAAAAAGCACTATTTTAATAATTGAAAAAACTTTTAAAAAACTTTTCCTTTTGGGTTGCCATAAAGTACTTACGAAGTTATGGGTTTCCATAAGGTACGTTTGAAGTTATTTTTTATAAACTTTTCTGGTTTTTGAAAGTTCATTCAAAAATTTAATAAAGCAAAAGAGAGCACAACCACAACTGATGTAAATAACACTATAGTCATTAAATATTAATATTCATTAGTGTCATTAGAATTAACTAAAGTTTATTACAAAAATAGGCAAGAAGTTGTTCGTCAATATTTATAGTTTTATAGGTTAATAATAATATAGGTTATTTTAACCTATAATAATCGAACAACTATTTTAATATTTTCATTAATAACAAGTTATTGGTGGTAGCCAGTCGGTTTTCAAAATCTGTAGTATCAGTATTTTTTTATTTAAGAATGAAGGCAACGACATCAAAAGAATTGATTAGCTAAGGCAAAAAACTGAGGAATATGTTATTAAAAATAAAAATGACTTTATGTTGGCAGATGATGCTGTCGGCAGATGATGCTGTCGAAATGTTTACATTGAAAACAACGATGTAAAACTTATTCCGTTTGCACCCATTCTATCTATTCCTGGTAGAATATTTGTTTTTAAAATGAAGTCTGAAAATGAAGATGATTATAAATGCAATCATTATAGATGGAAAAATAATAAGTTTTAAGAATAGAAAAAAAGGTTTTAAAAAATCTTATTATCTTACCCAAACTACTACAGGCCAAAAACATTGTACATCCGCGAATTTTAGTAAACAAGTGTTCATAAAAAAACTACCAAAGGTCTTATTGCTATTATCTATTATTTAGGCAATGAAAAATGTGGTGTAACAGATTTGAAACACGGTACCAGTAAAATTGACCATTCCTACATTCGCACTGCATCGTCTGTAGTGTCATGTATAAAAAAAAGTTTTAAAACCAAAAGATAAGCCACAAAATATTTATGAAAAACTAATGTTTGAATCAAATGTGATTCAAACATTAACAAACGTTAAAAAAAATAGGTCGCGCAGAGTCGTCAAATTTTTCATGACTTTTTTCATAAAAAAATTAGGCTACCCAGTGGATACGGACGTAAATAAGATGTCTTTTAAACGTCTTATGAACGTTTTGGACGTCTTTTGAACGTTCAAAAGACGTCTTTTTTAGGTCCCGTGCCCGCTGGGTAGGCTCCTTATGCAGGTAAGAAAACAGTTAAAAAATAACTTTTTTCGTTGTAATGAGGGTTTTAGGCCACTTTTGAAGATTTAAAAAAACGTGTAAACTCAAAATTATCTTAAAATTATCAGCTTACTAGGGAGTTTTTAAAGCGCGTTTTTTATTCAAAATGGCGTGTACATTTAAACTAGGAGATTTTAATTAAAAATCTTAAACTTCAATAAAAATGAACTAAAAACGGGTTCTAAAATATAAAAAATGGTTCATCACAAAGAAAATAAACTATATAACTAGGTTCAATTTCTTTTAAGACCAAAATATGCTTATTTTTTTAAAATTGATAACATAGTTGGGTGGGGTAATCTGGGCCTATATGTCAGTATTTGTTGCATTGTTAAAAATCTAATACTTTTACAGCAATAAATACTTTTAAAATGTAAATAAGATCTCTGGCAATGCTTTTCTGATTTTATTTTTCAACGGATTCATATAGACGATCATTAAAGATGTAACTTTCCATTGAAACTAGTAGATACCGGAGAGTAACAGTTTTGAATCTTAGCACATAATAAACATTGCATTTTTAAAGAATAATGAATCTATAATATATAATACTAGAACATTTGGTTAATTTTTATTTGGGCATCCGTCTAATTTATTCCTTAAATTTTTTTTATCATGATTAGGCTTAATATAAGTACTTTTTTGAATTGGAATATCGTTGGAATATTTTGCATTTAGCGCATTTATTGTAACACTATTATCTTTAATATTTTGAACAAAAAGTTTAAATTGAATACATACTCAATGACTCAAGTCATATTTTACTATGTGTTGGTATATTTCATGAAAAAAATGCGAAAAAGTAACATAGGCCCACATTACCCCACACAGTGGGCAGGGCCATCCTTAACGAATTAAATCGATCGATACCGAAGAAATACATATATAACGTGCGCACAGAACTGGGAAAAAAGAAGACAACGACGGGAATAAAAAAAGAAGAAGAACTACAGTAGTTAAATTTCTAGATTATAAAGATCGTGAAACTATACTAGATAACTACAAAAAGCTGAAATTATGGAACGAAAAGATGTATATCAATGAAGATTTTAGTGGGAGAAAAATCAACATTCGCAAACAACTATTCATTAAAGCCAAAGAAATACGTTCATCAGGTAATTTTGCTAAAGTTGTTTATAATAAATTAATCACCAAGTCTTTTGAAAAGACTATCTGATTATCAAAAAAACAAAAACAAAAAAAAAAAGGGTTTTTTATATATATATATATATATATATATATATATATATATATATATATATATATATATGTAATATGTTCACATGTGTGCGTACATATATACCAGTGTATATAAAAACCTTCAAATATTTTTAAAATAACAAAAACATACAAAATTGATTCAACTTATCGGAATGATTTTGAAAAAATATCAAATTTATTTCAAACAAATACTTTTAATTTAGATAATGAATCTGATCCAGATAGTAATTATTTTAATGAGATTAATGGATCAAAATTCGAATGCTCTTACTTTTATCCAGATAAAAATAAAGCATATTTAAAAATAATGATAATCGTGATTATTTTAATATAATCCACATTAATATCAGAAGTTTAAAAAAATTTTGATAACTTTTTAAATATGATTTGTCAAACGGAAAATTTTTTTAACGTTATTAGCTTAACTGAAACTTGGTGTACAGAGGAAGATTTTAAATCAAACGATAATCTCCATCTTACAGGTTTTAATACAGTCTTCTTAGAGTGTAATGTTAATAAGTGTGGAGGAGTTCTTTTTTACATAAAAGAAAACCTTGCGTATAATATTCGAAGCGATATGAATGTTTCTTATGATAATATTCAAATTTTAACGGTTGAAATAATAAATAAAAAATCTAAAAATATTTTACTAAGCTGCTGTTATCGGCCACCAACCGGAAGAACTGAGTACCTAAGCAATTATCTAGTTCATAATATAATAGAAAAAACTAGCCAAGAAAAGAAAAAAAATTATATACTGGGGGATTTCAACCTTGACTGCTTCCAGTGTAATGAAAAAAAGTATATAGCAAAGTTTTATAATCATTTATTTGAAACGGGAAAAATACCCATTATAAATAAACCTACTAGAATAACAAAGTCTTCATCCTCCTTAATTGACAATGTTCTTACCAATGACTATTTCAATATTACACTTAAAAAAGGTATTATAAAAACTGATGTTTCGGATCACTTTCCAATTTTTTTCTGCTTAGGCGCTGACCACAAAACATATACGAATGGTAAAATAACATTAAAAAAACGAATTTATAGCAACAATAACCTAAATTTATTTAAAGAGGAACTTTTACATCAAGACTGGAGCTATATAAACTTAAATGAGGATATAAATATCATCTACAAATCTTTTTTTTAATATATTTTACAAAATATATGAAGCAAATTTTCCTATTTGAGAAATAGTTCTTAACGCCAAAGACATATCTTGTCCTTGGATAACTAAAGGAATAAAAAAATCATCAAAAATAAAACAAAAACTCTATATTAAATATCTTAAAAATAAATCCAACAAACATAAAAAAAACTAGACAGTTTACAAAAATCTATTTGAAAAACTCCGAAAAAAAGCCAAACAAATTTACTACTCTGACTTGCTTATAAAACACAAGCATAATTCAAGGCGGGTGTGGCAAATAATGAAATAAATTTCTAGCAAACATAAGACAAACACAAATACGATGCCGAATGCTATAAAATTTGAAAATAAGTTAATTACCGATTCAAATGAAATCGCAGCCGAATTCAATAACTTTTTTTTGTCAATAGGACATAACCTATCAAACAAGATTCCTTATGTAGACAACGACTCTGTTGAAGAATTTATATCATCACCAAATTCAACTATAAATTTTTCAAATCTAACTTATAATGAATTCGAAATTGCATTTAAATTGCAATAGGGCCTGATGATATAAATGGAAATATTGTAATCGACTCTTTTAATGAGGTTAAAGATATCCTCTTCAAAGTCTTCAAAGCATCTATTACTCAAGGATCATTTCCAAATAGTTTGAAAATAGCCAAAGTAACTCCAATCTTTAAACCAGGTGACCATACCAACATAACAAACTATCGTCTTATCTCAGTTCTACCGGTCTTTTCAAAAATATTAGTAAGAATAATGTATAATAGAATTTACACTTATCTTATTGATAATAAACTCCTTTATAAAAATCAATTTGGTTTTCAGAGAAACAGTTCTACTGAACACGCTATTCTCCAAGTAACACGCAGTATTGCCGATTCATTTAAGAATTCTCAATTCACACTAGGCATATTCATTGACTTGTCAAAAGCTTTTGATACTGTTAATTATCATATTTTAATAAAAAAGCTAGAGAGCTATGGTATAAAAGATAAAACCCTAAATTGGTTCAAAAGCTATCTAAGTAACCGCAAACAATTTGTTTATAACAAAGAATCTTCATCGCAAAATAATAAAAAATATAACATGTGGTGTCCCCCAAGGGTCCATACTTGGACCACTATTATTTCTATTATACATAAATGATCTTTACAAAGCTTCTACCCTAACGACCGTAAATTTTGCAGATGATACGAATTTATTTCAGTCGCACGAAAACATAGAAATACTTTTTAATAATATGAATAATGAATTAAAAAGAATATTATATTGGTTTGGAAAAAATAAATTGTCCTTGAATACGGATAAAACAAAGTTTATACTTTTTCACCCAACCTCTAAAAAAAAGAGAATCCAAAATATCTTACCTGACCTATTCATTGACAATACAATCATAAAAAGAGAAAAATTTACAAAATTTTTAGGAGTCATAATAGATGAAAACTTATCTTGGAGTCAGCAAATTGATAGTATTTCAATGAAAGTTGCTAAAAACATTGGAGTTCTATACAAAGCTCGATATATACTAAATAAAAAGCAACTAACTCAACTATATTACTCATTTTTTCATTGCCATATAAACTATGCCAATATTATATGGGGAAGCGCTCACAAAACCAAACTTGAATCTCTCTATCGGCATCAGAAACACGCAGCTCGCATAATTAATTTTGGAAATCGTTTTTCAAGCTCAACACTACTTCTTATAGAAATAAAAGCTTTAAATATATACGAACTAAATATTTTTAATATTTTATGTTTTATGTTTAAATGAAAGAAAATTTATCTCCAAGTGTATTTATAAATTTCTATAATTTGAAACTAAAAAACAACCCAGCGGGCACAGACGTCAATTAAACGTCTTACGGACATCTTAACTAGGTCCCGACGTCTCAGACCAAATTAGGACGTCCTAAAGATGTCTGGTAAAGACGTCTTTGTTAGGACGACCTTGTGACGTTAATATAAAGACGATATTAGGACTTCCATATTTAGACGTCCTATTGACGTCGCTAAGACCTACATTAGACGTCCTATTGACGTCGCTAAGACCTACATTAGACGTCCTAATTACCTTAGAAATAAGTATAAATTAATATTATCAACTTGGTGCATACAATATTATGCGCAAACTCGGTTAATTAAATATGTCTACTTGTTTTGGTTGATTATTTTGAAATTATTAATTTTGTTTAGTTATTTATCGTTTAAAGATATTTTTTTTAATTTTCTGTATTCTATACTCAATGATCTAAAAACTATAATCGATACAATATTTAAAGAAAAGAAAATTGAGTTTAGTTATTAAGTGTAACTAAGTTACAAGTATAATGAGGGAGTTTTAACAAAAGACATCAAAATTGCACCAAGACTTTTCACATTGTGTTTTATAGAATAGTAATAATATTTTGTATGTCTGTGTTATAAATTTGTGTGTCTGTTTTATAAAATTTAACGAAACAACACAGGAACAACAAAATATATACAATTTATTTATTCATTTACCTATTTCTACAGATATTACATCTATTAAATTCTACCTATTTCTAAGATATTACAAAATGTATATATATATATATATATATATATATATATATATATATATATATATATATATATATATATATATATATATATATATATATATATATGAGTGTGTGTGTGTGTGCGCGCGCGCGCGTTTGGGTATAGGTAGCGATTCTTTACAGTTTTTTGCGTTAGACAAAAATCCTGTAATTTTTTTGGACTTTACTTGTTTATATATTCTTTTAAGGTTAAGCATGAAACTTCAGATTTTTTGCATTATTCAGTTTAAATCTAACTCTTCTCAACCATATATAGGAAGTACTATTTACTACTTTATATACTATTTATATGGCTTTACTTATAAATTTTATTTTTCAAAGTTTCAGAAAAAATTTATATTTCAACTTGCTGAATTAAAAAAAAATTTTAGTAGATAGAACTGCGCTGTTCTCTAATAATCCAGAAGAAGGTTTTAAACAACGTAAAAGTTCAGACAAACTTATTGTTTTGAAAAAAAAAATTCGCAAATGGAGATATCCAATACATCACTTTTGTATACATGAGTTTCATCTTAAAAGTTTGTATGTTATTTATTATTAAAATATTTATTTTAAATTGTCATAAACATTTTCAATGTTTCTTATACATTGTTTCTTTTTAGATAAAACAGTTATCATTAATTGGCTATAAAAATCTAGCTGATACAATTAAAAATATTTTGCTCTTGTAAGTAATTAGCAAAAGTTTAAATTTTAACATTTATGATTGACAGTAGAGCATTTATCTTCTTTTTTATATATGTAGACTGCCAACAGACACTATTTTGTCAGAATACAGCATGAATTGTCTAAAGAAGAAAAGAAAGTTTAAAGAGTTGACAAGTCTATGTAACTCTGTCACTGGTAGTCTTATTAGCTTATTAATGTGTTTAATTAATTAAAAATTAAAAATAATGTTTTAATAAAAAAAAAAAAACAATAATAATTTTTTTGTCTCTGGAACATGACATGTATTCAAGTGTATGTATGACATATATATTTTATTTTATAATCTTATTGAAACATGTTTTGTTGTTTTTATTAGAAGCTTCTTTAAAGTCAAATAATAACTTAACCAAAATGGATGCTATCCAACTTATTGGGAGAGTAACTAGGCATTTTTCTGACCGAATAAAGAAAACATCGACTAACATGGATTTCGATCCATGTTGGCTTAATTAACTGTTGAATTTTTTTTTTTTTTTCATTTTTAAGCAATTTTCTTCTATTTATAATGCACTATCGATTATATTCTAGAGTACCTATTAGTTTTTAATTTGAAAAATGGAACTTTGTTTGAAAAATTATTCTTATTTTTTCTAAAGTTGTTAATTTATTTTAAATATATCAAATTACACTTTATTTAGATTGATTACATTGATAAGCAGCCGTGGCGCAGTGGTTAGAGTTCTGGCTCAGAACCCAGAGGTCCGAGGTTCGACGCCAGCTCTAGCCCAACAAGCGACATTGGTACGGAAGGAGGCGTGAACTTCCTGTTAAATGCTCTCCCGCGATGCTCTATGATAAGACCGTAAGGACTTCTGAGAGCACCTAAATACATACAAAAAAAAAAAAAAAAAACTCTTTTTATAACTTCCCTTGCCTAGATTAAGGCAAATCTAAAGTGTGTGTTGTAAATCATTGCAAATTTATATAACTTTTAAAAGAATGTCTTGGTAAAATTCAAACGTCACTAGGACGTCTGAAAAAGACGTCCTTAAGTCTTTCATATGAGACCAGCCAGAGACGTCTCTAGAACGTCTGCAAAAAACGTCTCTAGGACGTCTTAAAAAAACGTCTTTAGGACGTCTGGAATAGACGTCTTCAAGCCTTTCATTTGAGACCAACTAAGGATGTCTTACGGACGAGACATCCTTAGTTGGTCTCAAATGAAAGTTATCCATTTCTTTGGAATAAAATAGTTTTACCTAACTTTGGTTTTTCTTTTAAATGGTCTTATTCCTCCTTTAAAAAGAAAACAAAAGAAATAATCTTTTCAACACAAAATATATTTATTTATTTTTAGTATTTCAAGTTATTTGATATTTTTGTCGACTGTGTGATGAATATTATTTAAACAATATATGCTGAATACTTTATATTATAATATTGTTCAATATTGAGAATGTTATATATCATTATTATAAAATATTATGTTAAAACTTGCTTAACATCTGAAGAATATACTAACGCTTATGTAATTTTTAATATTTGTAAATTTTCTACCTTTTAATTCGTTATATAGATTGTAAAGGGCTTCTTGATAAGATCATATGATTTTCTGGAAGTCCTACCAGTAATATATTCAATGTAATTTTACCTTGTACATATTTTTCTGGAAAAAAAAACTTGTTAAAAATTAAAAATAATAAAATCGTTATTAAATCTATTCTAATATGAAATGATATGACCCGACGGGCATTTGTTTTTAAAAGTTACGTTCTAAATGTGTTTTAAACGTCTTTTAAACGTCTTTTAAACATTAATGTTTAAAAGACGTTTAAAAGACATTAAAAATACATTTAGATCGTAACTTTTAAAAACAAATGCCCGTCGGGGAATGAAATTTTTTCTTATTCGGTTGTTTTTTAAACTGTTTTTTATTGGTTTCATAATTGTTTTTTTCAGAAAAGAATTGTTTTATTTGCACAAAGATTTGCGTATTTCATTCTCCCCGAATGTCGGGGTATAATAAAATATTTTTTTAAATATTTTTATATACCGATTCTTATATATTTAAATTTAAATTTATTCTCTTTAAAGAAAAAATTAAATTTAAATTTATTCTCTTTAAAAAAAAAAATTTTTTTAAATCATTTTTCCGTAAAAAAAAATAATTAAAATTCTTAACTATTCCATTTGACCCCATTTTACTCTATTTGGGGAGAATTTTATAGCCAAATAAAAATTAAACCGTTATTTGCTATGGAGGTTGTCAGGGACGCGTAAACAAGTAAGGTTTAGTAAAGTTTGCTTTCCTAAAGTTAATTTTAAAGCTAGATTAAAAAAAAAAAAGATTTTTAGAATATGATTCTCTAATAAATTTTAAATAACATTAAACGAAAAAAAATTCAAAATTTTGATTTTTCTGAGGGATATACCAGCTTAATCTTAATTGCACCCCTCTAGCGCCGGCCCTGTATATTGTTCTCTATATTCGCTACAATATTCAACAAACATTTAAAACATTTTATTACTTCTATACTAAGAATTATTATTCCGTAGTAAAAAAATTTAGTTTTTAGTTTGCAACTCAACTTCGAAAAAACATATTTCTTCATAATATTTACAGAAGTAAAGAAAATAGTTAAATTCGAAAGTTGAAAGTAATTTAAATAAGTGCTTTGGGTTAAAAATGGAATTTCGTTAATTCGTTTTCAGATAAAACATTCCGGTACAAAGAAAAAGAACTGGTTGGTGACACACAAAATCGAATTTTTTTAAGTTTAGTTTATAAATGTTAGAACGATTAGTACGTTCTTATTAAATTTAATGTTAACGCTTCAATTTATTATATCAAAGTACAAAAATCGATTAAAGATTGTTCAAACATTTAAATTTTAACATATAATTAATTCTAGTCCTAGAAAAAAGTCATAGTAAAAGAAAACTTTTCTTTTTTTAGTTAAACATTAAAATGGAAATACTCGAAGGCGAAAAAATTTAAAAATTTATTACCAAAATGGTTACTATTATCGTAAAGACAAAAAAGCAACAGAATCGTATGGTGGCGGTTTCAAATGTAAGGATGAATTTTGTAGAAGTCGTGCAACAAGTGTACCAAGCCTAGCGTTAGTACAAATAACGCCGCATAATCATTTGCCAGATTTTGAAAAAAAAGAAATTTTAAAATTAAAACAATCGATAAAACGAGCTGCCGAAACTACAAGTGAAAGTTTGCGAGATATTTTTGACCAAGAAACTGCTAGTAACCAATCAGCACATCACGTTTCTTTTGGAATGATGGAAAGCACTATGTATCGCAGACGTAGATCAGTGCAGCCGCAATTACCAGCCAATTGCGGGGAATTAGACAACTCTTTGAGAGTAAACAACATAAGTAAATTTTTAGACGGGACCGATTTTTACAAAGGGTACGTTCGTATAAATAACGATTATGCTCACATATTTATCGGGAAAACAGTCGTTGCTTCACCGACTGATTTGCACGTTGACGGAACATTTAAGGTAGTTCCGAGAATGTTTTATCAAATGATAACATTTGGATACATTTTGCTTGATCATGTAAGATAATCAATAAAAGATAATATAAGAAGGGTGTAAACAAGGAATTCTATTTTTTCCGCGGTGTTTTTTAATACCGTTAAATTTTTTTAGAGCACCTTAATGAATTAAAAAAAAACAAAATATATTCCCTGTTTTTTCTTGTTCACCCTCCATATATTAATATTTTTGTTATTATTGTTATTATTATTGTTTTTTATAAGTTATAGTTGTTTTTATTAATGTTGTTCTACAAGTAAAGAATCAAGAAATAAAGATTTTTTTGTTTTAGTTTATTCCAACTATTTTCATACTTATGACTAGAAGAACGCAAGAGCTGTATTCTCTTGCATTTTCCAAAGTTGCTGAACTCGTTCCACATTTGTCACCGTTACGGATAATGACGGACTATGAACAAGCATTGATGAATATCTTGGAAATTCAATATCCTTTAGCTGAAATTTCAGGCTGTTGGTTTCATTACGTAAATGTAAGCAAAAAAATATTTAACTAAACATACAATAACCTTTGTTATAAAATGGCAATTTTAAAACTAAATTAAAATACAATTTAAAAAATATATATATTTATTTGTACTGAAAGTTTATGTTTACAATTATTTATATTTAGGCTGTGGTTAACAAGTGTAAACATCTTGGATTGTTTGGACTTTTAAAATTGCAAGTTCACAGTGATTTGAAGAAATGGATAAGGCTATTATTGTGTCTTTCTTTGCTACCGCCTCACCATATTCAGCCAACATTAGGCAATTTGAATCCAAATTTGTTTGTGGTGTCATTAAGCATAAATGACTTCGCAAAATGTCAAAGTTTAATGACCTATATGGAAACATTTTGGATTGGGCGTTTTGCCAGTAACAAAATTTCTGTTTTTGCTTGTCCCAGAAGAACGAACTCTGATCAAGAAAGCTTCCATGCCTCGCTTTTAAAACGAATAAAGATTGCTCATCCAAACATTTGGCTTTTTATAAGTATATATATATATATATATATATATATATATATATATATATATATATATATATATATATATATATATATATATATATATATATATATATATATATATATATATATATATATATAATAAAAATATAATTTTTTGAACTTATCTTTTATTTGCATTTAATTCTTTTAATATTTTAGCAGAACTAAAAAAGTTTGCAGAAGTTCAGCAACTTGATAAAGTACGTTTAGAATGTGGACTTCAGATTCGTCGGAGACGAAAGCAGAAATATGTTTTAAATGATCGTAAAATCAGAGTTGCTACTGAAAATTTGGCCAACGGACGTCTAACTTCATTGGAATTTCTACAAAGTGTTTCACATTGCGCAGATGCGTTATTTAACAATCAACTTGGCGTTAGTCGTATAAATCAACCACCGGAATTGGAAACAGTTTCATCATTTACGCAAGTTCAAATAGAGCCCTCACAGCCTAATTCAATTCCACCACAAGATGAAGCCCAGCAACTTAATGTATCAATACCACGGGATGCAAAATACAGATGATGTAGCTATAGTGCAAAATACCTTCCAACTCGGAAAAAACTTACATAGTTCTACAGAAATTGTTGGAGTCACGGAGACTTTAAGAGTAGTGGATGAAACTAATGGAACAACATGTCCTGTTTGTTTAGAAAATACTCCAAACTTCGCTGGTGTTCCCTGTGGACACATGGTTTGCACAATGTGTATACCACATTTACAGTTAAAATGTCCTCGTTGCCGAGCAACAGTTCTTATGTTTATACAAACATTTGCGTGATCTGCTTGATAAATGTTCATATACAAACTTTTTTGTTGAAATTTAACAGTATAGTTGTATTCAAAACTAAATTTATTTGAACTTACAAAAAAATATTTTTATTTGAACTTACAAAGAATCATAATATTTACAAATAAAATAAATAAATAATAAAACATTAAATTTGAGATTTCGAAATGCAATTTTGTTTGTCGAATAATTAAAAATTATGTTTATTATTTAAAAAAATTGAAGCCACTTAATACTATCATCAATATGAAAGTATAATTTTTACAGACCTATATGGGGCTGTTGATACGTGACAGTTTTAAGGGGGGAGGGGGTATCAGAAAATGTTACCAAATGTCACATGGGGGAGGAGGGTTAGCTTCAGTGTAACGTGACAAATTTTTTAAAAATTTAAATTCTAATCACAGCGGAATCAATAAAAATGTTAGCGAAAAGTTGCAAAATTGGGTAAAAATAACGTCACGTTTCATATTTGAGACATTTTCTGTCAACCTCTTCCCTTTTTCCAATATGCATATTGGAAAAAGGGAGGAGGTTGACAGAAAATGTCATAAAATGTCACCTGGGGAAGGGTGGGGTGTCTAAAAACAGCCAAAAAGGTGTTACATATTGTTTGAACAGCCCCTAAATTAAAAACAAACTAATATTTAAATTAAATCTAAACCCAATTAAAACATTATCATAAAGGTCTTTATTCTATGTAGTAAAGTTCAAGTTCCGCATAATTGCTTTGCCCAAATAGAACTGTAACCAGGGGGTTTAGGTGGTCTAGAACCCCCTAGTATTTAAAAATAATGTTTTTCTTTTTAAGGAAAAGCATAATAAAAAATCTTAAAAAATCATATATTGTGATATATAAATTAATGTTTCAAAGAAAGAATGTAACTCCGCATGTCAATAGTCAAATGTAATCAAAAACTTTTGAATATTGATTATTTGTGTTTCATTTAAAACAAACTGAAATTTAAAACCAGTTTAAAATAGTTTGCTTAAACTAATTTTCAACTTATTTTAGACAAATGATTTTATATAGTTCTCACTTTACCCGCTAGCTTGTCCCACTTCTACTCACACCTACCCCATTTGCAAGGTTTCTGTAAAAAAAAAATTATATACTCGATTATAATACGCGGGAACTTTAAGGGGATTGAATCAGTGCCCAAATTGAAGGTGCTTTTCTTACAACTGTTTGGTTTTGTTTGGTTTGGTTTCGAACATCAAATAAAAAAGACATAACCGTAAAAGTAATATTTAATGTCTTTCTTCTCCTCCTCTCCCCCAACTTTTTCCATAATTTTAGAAAAATACCTTTTATTAGCCATAAAGTTAACAACAACAAAAAAAAATTGTAATATTATTTACGCAAAAGCAGTTTTTTGTCTGCCCGAACGAATGTACGCCTGCACCTAAAACATAGTCACAGAATAGGAAAAACCCGCTACTACAATTTGATTGACACAAAAAATACAACTTGATCGAAACAAACGCTCTCTATTTCGTTGGATTTGAGATCGAGATCTTACAGTTTAACTTATTAGATATGTAAACGGCAACACATCCACCCAGTCTGTTTTAGATATGCATAACTCTCGATATGACATAGTTCACTAGGGTCGTCCTTGCTTATATGGGTTTATGGGTTTGTCAATGTTTTTGTTGCAGTTAAACAAATAAATGATGCTAAATGTTCCATAGGCCACGGATATTTAAATGAAAACCTGGCTGATGGCGTAGAATAAAGTAATAATATGATGTAACTTCCAAACCTATATTATTATTTTTTTCTTCTTTTAAAACTTTATATTAAAATATAAAGTACCACCCCACACCACCCCCATCCACCCCCCTCCCACACACACACACACACACACACTACTGTGTGACGTCTAGAAAGACGTTTGTCCGGATACAACGTTTTCAAGACTTTTGTATGAGACCAATTTAGGATGTCTAACGGAAAAGAAATCTAATATAAATGAGTGCAGCATAGAGCCACCGAACTAGTTACATCAATTAGCCGTTTTTGCGATGAAGATCGATCCTCCTAGCACAAACAACTAATTGATGAAGCTAGTTCGGTAGCTCAACGCTACACTCATTTAACTATTTTACATACATGATACACGTACACGTGTATCATGTCTCTTCAAATCAAGAGGGGGGGGGGGGATCAAACTTTACATGGTCATAATTTTTGAACACGAATATTAGAAAATTATTTCTAATAATCTATCATTTTGTTAAACGATCATTGTTTTTACGTATGCATATATGTATACATAAAAACAGTGATCGATTAACAAAATGATAGAATAATATTCGTGCTCTAAAATTATGACCATAAAAAGTTTGATTCATCACCTCCCCCCCCCCTCCTTCGATTTGAAGAGATAAACTTTGATGGGTCATAAAAACCGAACACAGCAGAATATTTCTGGAAATTTTAAATTTGTAGGTAAATTGAAAATAATTAAATTATGGTAAAATAATAGGGTTGTTAACCGGAGGATTTCGTGCAATTCCGGAAAAACAACATTCTTTCGTAAGGAGATTGAGAACACGGAATTACATTTTTTCGTACCGAATGTTACAAAACATTTAAAATCGCCGATGTTCATTTCGCAAAAGCCACTTCCGAAATTTAGCATTTCGCAAGTTGACATACGAAACAAAACTATTTTGCAACATACGAAAGTAGCGGTTTCGGAAGTCGCACTTGCGAAACAAACATTTTCGCCAAACGACGTTTTGAAGTCTATAAAGAAAATTTGTTTGCCAGACTGATTTTAATTGTAAAAATTAACATCTTTAAATCCCAAAATGTTTATGATGAATTTTTATTTTCAGTAAAATAACTTATTAAATTTTTACGGTTTTATTTTTAGAAATATTGATAAAAAATAAAATTTCTTTCGAAACGAAAGTATTTCGGATCACAACATACGAAAGAATTCTTAACGGAAATAAACTTACGAAACGTGCCATAATAAATATATACAACGATGTTTTTTGAACTCATTACGTATATTAAAAATAAGAATGATGGGTAGGAATATACATGTTTTTTTTTTAAAGCATATGAAATTTTTGAAACAGGTTCGAATATGCTTAAGCAAATAGTAAAAAGAGGCTCAAAAATATGCTTTAGCTTAAGCATATTTCTGATAAAATATACCTATTTCAATAATTTCTAAAAGTGTGCACGTTACTAAAATTCTAGCAGGTTTTAAAGGTATGTAGAGTCCTGTTTGAATACGCTTTTCAAAGTATAGATCATAGAAAATATTGTTTTTTAATTTTAATATAAATTTGAGTATAAGATTGTATAGTTCAATCAGTTAGATACGTGATAATTCGCCGCAGAGATCCGGGTTCGCATCCCGCAGCCATTGTAACTTTTGTTCGTCAAACTCTTTTTACTTAAGATAGCATTTTTTGACCTCCATGTTCTATATTACAGATCTTTCGTCGCCTTCACAATAGTGACAACCTCTCTTCTGTTAGTTATTCTTTTAAGATTGAGTTCATTGTGCTTAATTCAACTCGTTTCCCTTGCTTTACTAAGTTCTACTTAAATTATGATGAAATGTACGTAAAACAATTTTTTCAAATAATATAATTCATTTTGCTTTTTGTACTAGACATCTGTCCTAAATACTTTGTAATAATTTCTAGCTAACTCTGAGTCTAATATAACCATTTCTGAATATAATTTCCCTGAGGCTCCTACAGCCTATTGTGTTCCATTAAAAGTAACTAGTTTTTGAGTCCAGATATTAATTATAAGCATCTAAAGGTTCACATTACTATTCATTTTCCTGATATATAGAATCCTATTTGCATACGTATCTCTTTCTGTAAATTCTGTTTTATATAGTTTCTTAATTATATATTAAATAAATATTACTATTCTCTTAGTTGAATGAACGTATAGCTCATTCAGTTAAGACATTTGGCCGCGTAGACCCAGGTTCACATCCCGCTGTTTTACATATATTTCTTCTCTTTTTACTCTTTCTGATATCATTTACCTTTAGAGAGATCTCTCGTTCTTTATAATAAAGTATTTAATTGTTTATCACACATCCTCTTTATACTTTTTAAAAAGAAAGGCATACTGTTTATCTATTCATTGAGAGTCCAACTTAACGGGATTTTACTGTATATGTAAGTATATATATATATATATATATATATATATATATATATATATATATATATATATACATATATATATATATATATATATATATATATATATATATATATATATATATATATATATATATATATATATATATATATATATATATATATATATATATATATATATATATATATATATACTTACATATACAGTAAAATCCCGTTAAGTTGGACTCTCAATGAATAGATAAACAGTATGCCTTTCTTTTTAAAAAGTATAAAGAGGATGTGTGATAAACAATTAAATACTTTATTATAAAGAACGAGAGATCTCTCTAAAGGTAAATGATATCAGAATATATATATATATATATATATACATATATATATATACAGTAAAACCCCGTTAATGCATATATATATATATATATATATATATATATATATATATAGGTTCACATCCCAGGTTCACATCCCGCTGTTTTACATATATTTCTTCTCTTTTTACTCTTTCTGATATCATTTACCTTTAGAGAGATCTCTCGTTCTTTATAATAAAGTATTTAATTGTTTATCACACATCCTCTTT